GTTCCTGTCTAAATGTGAGTTTTCCCTTCCAACTACATCTATTTGTTCAAGATGGAATGAAAGTCTGGATGAGTTTATGAAATATTTTAATTAGATTTTTATTTTACTCCAACAAATATCTTCTAATTAAGATTGGATTAACTTATTTATGACTGAAAATCCTTACTTAGAGTGACAATCCAATTAAAATATTTCATGAATTGATCCAGACTTTCATTCTATCTCTAGCATGCAGTCCAAATAAAAAGAGATACCCTATGGTTGGAACGAAAGTTTGCAAGTAAGATGAACATTTTTAAAATTGGAATGACATTTTTTAAGATGGAATAAAAATTTGAAATTTAAATCGTAATTTTACTCTGCATAGTACGGCGAACACGTTCGGAGTTTTTTCGAACGTCCGAACGTGTTCGGCCGTTCGCCCGATCGTGGCGTGAACACGTTCGCACGAATGGCTTTCGGAGGCCGGCGAACCCATTCGTCGCCGGGCGGAACCGGGCCCGGTAGGGCGCCCAGAGGGCCTTGTTGGGGTTGGGGGATTGGTTGGCGGGGTTGGGAGGGCGCTGGGAGCATCTGCGTGGCGGGAGGGGTCAGCCTGGGCCCGCTCGTTCGAATTCGAACGCGTATACGGGCATCGCCAGCGACCCCGGTAGTCACCCGCCCGCGGACCCGTCGTCGTCATCGTCGTCGTCTCCATCGCCGCCCAGGTGAGAAAGCACGTCGCCTCTTCCTCCTCCCCCTCCTTCTTCTCCTCCTCCTCCTCCTCCTCCTCCTCTTCTTTTTCTTCTTCGTCCTCGTCCTCTGACTCCTAACCTGCCATATCCTCCCCGTTCTACTCCCCCTCCAGGGCCTCCACCTCGTCCTCATCTTCTCCCTCCTCCTCCACCTCGTCAACTCCTCCACCTTTTCCTCCTCCTCGTCTTCATCTTCCTCCTCCATCTCATCGACCTCCTCCCCCACCTCCTCCTCCTCCTTGTCATCTGCTTCTTCCTCCTCGTCTTCCTCCTCCTCCATGTCTACCTCCTCCTCCATGTCTACCTCCTCCTCCTCCTCTTCCTCGTTCTCCTCCTCGTCCTTCGAACTTTTTATTTTCTTCGAACTTCTCGTCTTGTTCTTCTTCTTCTTCCTCCTCCTCCTCCTCCTTCCCGTCCTCCTCCTCCACCCCATCGACGCTCACCACCTTCTTCCTCCTCCTCCGCCATATCGAAGTCCTCCTTCCCGCCTTCCTCCCTCTCCTCCTCAATAAAAAATAGTAAATATTTCAGTTGTTTTTTTTAATCAATCAATCAATCAATCAATCAATCAATCAATCAATCAATCAATCAATCAATCAATCA